TTAAAGTAAACCAAAGTTAACATACTCATTTATTAATGGAGAAGTGGCATTTATCATTATGACTATCAAAACAATTGTGTTAAAATCTCAGGGAACAAGAATGAGTGCAGGGATTGTAAGTTCCCCTGCTGGGTGTTTCATTCTGCTCTTCTATCCATTCTGCTCTTCTATCCATTCTGCTCTGCATCCTCTTGAGTGCTTTTGAAACTTCCCTCGTCTCCTCCTTCATTTCCAGGTTTTCTCACCTGCCACTCATTTTTGCCGTTCCTCTGCCTGACTCTGTTAAGATAAACTAATCCTTGGAATTTGCTGCTTTGAAGTTGATATCGGCTGGGAAACTCATACACAGGCATGTCCCAGTCCTGTGGTCTAGAATCAAAATAGTGAGATGAGACGGAATGTGGGTGGTTGCTGCTCTGCTGGTTACCAGCTGTTTAACCCTCAGATAGATGACACTGAAAACCCTTGGGTCCTGTTTCTTCTTATATGAGATAAGGCTAGTAACACTCACATTCCACGTTTGGGGAAGGATACAGTGAAATCGCCTGATTGGTCATACTTGACCCACAGCTAGTGCTTGGTCAATGTGCCCCTTCCTTCTTTTTCTCCCTACCTGGGCAAGATCAGCCTCTAAAAGTGGTAAGTGATTCTGAAGGTTTCTCCCATGAGGAAGTGACATAGGTTTGTACTTATTTGGATAGTCTAGGCACCTTTTGTTCCTGCAGTTGACACTCTTCCAAATAGTTGAAGTTACTTATAAGTGAACACCACCTAACCATTAGGCTACTGTATTTATAAAGGATGCTAACTTGAATTAGCTTTGCCCAAGCAGAATATTTTAAAAAATAAAGAAAAAGCAGTAGTCCATTCTACCTGTCTGCCAATTTCTATGTTCTAGTTGAGGACATGGGCACACGTGATCAGCAATAAATTCAGACATAATCACCACAAGACAAGGTAATGTTAACAACTTTACATTCAGAACCCAGAACAATAGATGCACTATATTTTTTTGACTAAATAAATAGTTATTCCTGGAGGTGTGATGATTATACTATGCCTAGATCCTGCCAAAGGCAAAAAGGCAAAAAGATATATTGAGACCAGCTATTTGTCTATTGTTTCCCTGCTCAGGGCTAAAATTTTCTGAAAAATCACATAAGAGTCCAGCTGTCAGAATGAGCTCATCACCTGGGCTCGGGATCCCAGATTCTGTGAGCAGGAGACTTCATCCACCCAGGTGTCTGTTTCAAGAACAGTCTCCTCTTTTTCAAAGCGTTCATGGAAATGGGCTTCTCACCTAACAAACAGCAGCTACAGAGCCTCCTTTCCCTGGGGTGCACAGGGTCGGTCAATGGAGACCAAAGAGCCCTCCAGAGAACAGCAGATGGAACACGATTTCACC